GGCTTCTCTAGAAGTTGTTATTATGTAAATGTATGATATATATATATATATATATATATATATATATATATATATATATATATATATATATATATATATGCTTAATTAGAATATATGAATAATATTTTTAAAATTGATGAAAAATAAATTGTAATATTATTAAACGTATATAAACAGGTCGGCCATCTTCCTTCTATATTTTTTAAAATCTACAGTCTTTCGTAAATTAAAAAGTAATCTAAAAAAATAATCATCTAAATAATAATCACCGGTCTTAAGATAGAACCATCGTGCACTTTGTTATTATTATTATTATTATTATTATTATTGTTGTTGTTGTTGTTGTTCATGACGTCATGATGATCCGCGGCCCCCCTGTTGTAGGCACCCTCGACTACGGTGTCAAAAATGACGTTTTCACTGGACTCCACTGCCACCTCTGATGACTTTTTGTCGCCAGCAGTTGCTGAAACTGTGCATTTTTTGAAGGTATTGTGCATATTAATGTGAGCTAATTGTACTGTATTGTATTGTATTTATTGTATTGTATTGTATTTATTGTATTGTATTTATTGTACTTTGGTACAACTTTTTGTGTATTTTAGTGTATACATATAATAAAAGGAGTATATTAATGCGTGTGTAGAAGGTTCATAGAGTTATTTGTAGCATATTAAGTAGGTTAAGTGATTTGTGTGTGTGCATATTATATTCTAGCGATGGTTAACTGAAGGAGTTATAGATGAAAGAACATTCAACAGAAGCGTAGAATAGTGACATGTAGAAATGTAAAATGTGTATTTGAAAATTTTAAATGTGTATTTAAAGCCTATTTGTTGTTCATTCCATGTGTATTTGATATGTATTTTACGGGCACAGGGCTTACCAACCAACATCAATGTTAGAGTTGTTACATGCGAACCTCTGTAGTTGTGCACACTTAGTAAAATAGTTGCGTAAAATTAAAATTGTGATTTAAGTTTGGGTACACATGCGTGTGTGCGCGCGTGTGTGTATGCGTGTGTGTGTGCGTGTGTGTCTGCGTGTGTGTGTGAGTATGCGTGTGAGTGTTGTCTTGCCATTGCTTCGCG